GCACTGCAGTGACTAACCTGGTATTCAAGCTGCCTGTCGCATCTTCCAGATAAACAACAAACTGTTTGAAAGGCACGGGTTGAAGACAGGTGTGGAGGTGTACCTCTGTATTCCCAGCACTTGCAAGGTAGGGACGAAAAGGTCAGAAGTTCAGGATCATCCTTGGTTATATAGTAAGTTGGAGGCCAATGGGGACTACATGAGATCCTCTCTCTCTGTCTCTCTGCTTCTATCTCTCTTTCATCAAATACACAAAAGGCACAGACTGGTTTTTGAAGTGGTAAAGACAGGCCCTGCATAACAATCACTAGACAGAAAAAGGAGCCGTCTAGGAACTTATAAATGATGAAATCCAGGAATAGCAATATTGAAATAAAATCCAGACAACAGCAGGGAGTGAAAATGTAACTCGTCACTTTTCATAGTTCAGGTGTTAAAAATATAAAGACACCAGGGGCTGGAGAGATGCTCAGGGGTTAAAAGCACTCACTGGACCCCGAGTCCAGTTCCCAGCACCCACACGACCGTTCACAGCCTCTTGTAACTCTAGTTTCCAGAGCTGACACCCTTTTTTTGGCTTCTGAGGGTACTTTCATTCACATGTGGAACTATCCTTCCATATACACAAAATTAAAAATAAATATTTTAAAACACACCATAAAATACATAAACGACAAGGGTGGATTTGCACCAACGCTGTGGAGATACGGTTTGGTATGGAGATATTGGGATGTGGGGCTTGGTGTCTCACAAGCTAACCTACCTTCATACAGGATGCAATGACGAGATTGTTGGGGTCAGTGGCAAGACTGCCATCTTGTTATTAAAATGTTTTTAAAGATTCATTTAGTTATTATTTATACAATATTCTGTCTGCATGTACACCTGCATGCCAGAAGAGGGCACAGGATCTCATTATAGATGGTTGCGAGCCACCATGTACTTGCTGGGAATGGAACTCAGGACCTTTGGAAGAATAGCCAGTGCTCTTAACTTCTGAGCCATCTCTCCAGCCCTTGTTATTATCACTGATAATGAGCGATGTGATGGGCACCTTTTTCAAGGCATCCCTGTTGTATTAAGTTTTCAAACCCTCATGCGAGCCTCCTTTCTGTTTTGCATGTCAGGAAACTGAGGCAGAGATATTGTGGAAGTTATCTGAGGTCACACAGCTGGGAGAGGAGCTGGACTACCCAGCTAAGCTGTGTAGCTGGGCACGGAGGTGCATACCACCTCAGGCCCTTCCTGTCCTCACTGACTAACAGGAGGAAGAGACCAAGGACACAGCCCAGGTCCAGGCTGGCAATATCTTCCTGCAAAGAGGGCTGCTGGCAGGCTCAGTGTCACCTACGCAGCTTCGCTGCTTGGCCAGGAAAGGAGCACAAGTGTAAACAAGTGGGCAAGGCAGCATGCCAGGAAGTTTATTTTCAGAAACAGGCAGAGGCCATGGTTAGGCAGCCTGAACAATCAATATGGCTGCTTGTGAAGAGAATTCTGGATGAGCATGAATGAGGGCATAGTACTGAGCTATTTATGAAAATATTTTCCTTTCAGAGCCAGCCAAGTGCCTCAAGGATAAAGTCATTGTTGAGAAAGACTGGGACCTGAGTTTGATTCCCAGAACCCATGTAAGGGTGGAAAGAGAGAATCAACTCCAAAAGATGGCCTCTGACCTGATACCCATGCCACTCATATCCCTCCACATGCACACAGAATGAAACAGACTTTCAGCAAAAAAAGATTTGTTTGTAATTTTAAACTAGCAAATAATTAAAAAAAATAGGCAACTACCAAAAGGATTTAAAAAAAAGAAAAGACATTTTAAGCAAATTGAGGGGAAAATAGCTCTTTGAACAAAGTCAAGACAAGATGAAAATGCATCAAAAACACAAATGAATACTGTCGACAAACGACATTCTAGAGATCACAGGGAATGCAATTAAGGAATGTCCTCCCAGTAGAAGACAAACTCAAAATTCAGCCAGGTAGGACAAACAGTTCAGCTGTACACAGAAAGCTTTCCCAAAAGAGAATGGAAGAACTTGAACTCAGTTCTTTGGACCCATCTGGGTGGCAGCGGCAGTGGTGGTGCACACCTTTAATCCCACTCGTCACTCAGGAAAGTAGGTCTCTCTGAGTTCGAGGCCAGCCTGGTCTACAGAATGAGTTCCAGGACAGCCAGGGGTACATAGAAAAACCCTATCTCAAAAACTAAAAACAAACAAAAAGCAAAAAACCACCACCAACAAAAACCAATTCTCTGGACCCACCACGTGGGTCCAGAGAATTGGTCTCTCCAAACTGTCCTCTGACCTTCATGTCCATGCCATGCCATGCCCCTAATAAATGTAACAGAAAATTGCAAAAAATTGTTTTTGTTTTATTATTTTATTTTTATGTGTATGGTTGTTTTGCTTGCATGAATGCTTGTGGGCCATGTGTGTGCCTGATGCCTGTGGAAGCCAGAAGGCACCAGATCCCCTGAAACTAGAGTTACAGACAGTTGTGAGCCACTATGTTTTGCTGGCTCCTGTCCTCTGGAAGAACAGTGCTCTTAACCACTGAGCCATCTCTCCAGCCCACTATAAAAAGTTTGTTTGTTTTTAAAGGAACAGAATCCACAGTAAGAGCTTTGCAAGATAAAATCACTACATGATGTCATGTAGCTGGCTGATTCTGTGTGTATATCAAAATATAAAATTGCAGGAGCAAAGCGCTCATACACATGAAAATAAATAAATCACACACACATAATTACATAAATTCATGAAACTAAGTTTGTATTTCATGGCTTTTTGAAAACTGGAGAGTGACTGAGGAAAACACCTTAGAATCCTCTCTTTTTGAGTTTTTTTTTGGGGGGGTGTGTATGGGTGTTTTGTCTCTGTGCATGTCTGTGCATCCTATGCACCCCTGGGGCCTGTGGAGGACAGAAAGGGGGGCCAGATCCCCTAGAACTGGAGTTACACTGGAGTTACAGACAGTTGTGAGCTGCCACATGGGTGCTGGGAATTAAACCTGAATGTTATGGAAAAACAGCCAGTGCTCTTACCTGCTGAGACACCTCTCTAGCCCCTGATGGCTAAATTTGTGTTCATGGGCTAGTCTTAAATGGGTAAGATAATTAAGCCTTGATATCACTTCAGGATACTGACAAGTCTTTAGTGTAAGATTTTCACACACCCTCCTTTTAATAGCCAGCTGAAGAGAGTGAAGGAAGCCAACATTACAGCGGCCTTGACTGAGCTCACAGGTACCTATAAACAGTGTCCATTCTCAACAGGCAGCACTGGCATCGGCCATAAGCACATCTGGCCTTTTGTCCGTATTTGAAAAAACTGACTAGCCTAAGGCTAGTGTGATGATCCGTTTATCGACCTGATAGGGCTAGGGGCATCTTGTGCATGCTTGAGGGGAGTTAGCCAAGCCAACCGGGTGTGCAGAGATGCCCACTGTGGGTAGGGACCCCAAGACTGCGTAGATGAGACAATGAGTTGAGCACAACGTGCATCATTCTCTTCTGATGGATTCACATCCCTGCTGCCTCGACTTCCCCAAACACGTTCTCTCTTAGGTTGCTTTTGTCAGGGTATTTTATTGCAGCAGCAGCAACAGACCTAAGATTAACCTCAGCCAGGCACCAGAGATTTCACCAGCTCCAACAGGGTTTCTGACAGTTGTGCAGCTGACCCAGAAGTCAGTAAAAATTAAAATAGTAACATAAGGTCACCTGGATACAAAAATTAAAGAGTAAATGATAGCTCACAGATCAGACATAATATAAAAATCCTCAGAACAGAAACAACAACAAAAACATTTAAAAATGGACAAAACAAAAGCTTCCATCTCCTCAGTCCTTATTGGAGTTCTGGACTGAAGCTCTGGGGTCATTCCAGAGGTCAGAAGCCCTGGAGGGGGAGGAAGCAGAGACTGTGGAGCCCTGGCAGATCAAGGGGACCCTGCTGTCCCAGAAGCCACACAGCTTGAAGGGTAAAGGGAGAGATATGCAGGCTGACAGGAGACCCCTGCCCCGCCCTGCCCCTGGTCCTGTACCTCCTGGCTGGCTGTGAGGCCTTCAGGCCTGTTCTCTGGAGGTCTCAGGTGTTTTGAGATCAGTGACCTTCAAGCAGAGACCAGACCCTGAAGTCCTGGACTCCACTGAGCGCATGGGCCCTGCCATCCCTTTTCCACCTGTTAACCCCTTGCAGGGGAACTAAGCCGGCAGAGACCACAATGGCCACTGGGCAGAAGCCACACTCTGTGTGGGCTCTTGAAGGCACTCAGATAGGGGAGACCAACCTCATCCTTAGGGAGAATCCACTCATGTTTCCCAGCTGTCCCTTGTCCTGCCTGAGGGAGCAGTCAGGCTCTGGTGGCTCCGGTTAGACCCAGACCCCAGTGAGTGGACTGTGTGAACCTTCCTTCCTCCTGTATGTTTATGGCCCCACCCCTGGCTCAACGGGAGGAAGGGCTTGAAAGGTGCACAGCTGCTGGGTGTCTAGGTGCCCCATCCAAAGGGGAGCATCCCTCATGTGGTCCTTGAGGAAGGGGTCAAGGACCGTGTGTGGAGCCGTTCCTGAGACACCTTAGGTCTACCCCAAGGATGGCCCTGGCACACCTCCACTCTCAGGCTAGCCCCTTCCTTCCAATTTGTCTGAATCAGAAGGGGGCTGGCTCAGTGGGCGCGCGCGGGGGCTGGGGGTGGGGGGGACCTGTCTTCGGTCTGCTGCAGCCAGGAGTCCCTGCGGAGGCAGAAGGGGCGGAGGCAGAGCCTGCAGAAGCTGCTGCGCCAGCGAGGCGAGCCCGGACAGAGCCTTCTGGATGGGGTCGCTGGGGCCGTGCAGGTCAGTGTCCCTTCTGTGGCTCCCCTGGAGTCAGCAGAGTGTCCCTGGGAGGCAGAGGGGGCCCACTCCGCTCCTCTCAGAGGCATGCAAAGCTCTGGGCGGGGGGGAGGGAGGGTGGGTTGCGGGAAGGTGAGGGTACAGGACGTCCTTACTCACCTCGGCTGTAGAGGACACCCAGGGCCACTAGGGCTCCCAGAAGCAGCAGCAGCAGCAGCAGCAGCCCCCTCTCCAGGAAGGCTGAGCGCTTCTTCCCAGACCACTCTGCTCTCTCCACCATCCCCACTGGGCTCTCCGACTTCCCCATCAGCCGGTTCTGGGAGGAAAGCGCACAGCTGAGCACCCCAGGCCAGGGAGCAGCAGCCCCAACGTCCTGACCACACTAAGGCCGGTGCTCTGTCCCGGTCTCTGCTCTTAGAGGTGTAAAATGTGCCTGGTCTTGGGGTTCTGATGCTAGGGCCAGGGACCCCCGTGTGGAAGGGAGACCTGGCAGCTAATCATGATGACCAGTGCTCCCAAAGTCAGTTTCCCTCTTGTTTCGAGATCTGACTGGTCCTGGAAACTGGATTAGGAGTGTTGGAGGGCTGGCTCAGGCCCTGAGCTCCTTGCCTGTCCTTTGGCTGTTCCTGTTGGAATCAGGAGTTTCAGGGAGTGGTGGGGGTGGGAACTCTGCAGAGCAAGAGGGGCTCAGGGGTTTAAAGCACAGTCCCGTTATCTACTGCCCTGTGAGCATATCTGGGCATCACCTTCACCTTGTCGTGGGGAAGACACCATCCTGAGCCAAGGTGAGGGGGAAAGCAGCAGAGGACACACAAGGCTGGTGACTGGAAAGGTTGGCTGCGGGACAGGGGCAGGTGACTGGGAAGGCTCCTCGATCCATGAGTGCTCCTCCTAGCCTCACTGGGGATCTCTGTACATCGACTTCCAAATGGCCCAGCCTGGGGAGGGCACCCAGGAGCCTCACAGAGTTGGCACAGCTCTTTCTGGTAGGGTGCGGTGTGGGTGGGGCCCTGCGCTTCACTCCCTGGGTCTCCCTGTCTGTCTGCTGTTCCCTCCTGTGTGGGTGCTCACATACCCAGAACTTCCCATATTTCTCTGGATGCTCAGACCATGGCTGTCTGGCGCTTTGCACCCTCACAAGGCCTCTGCTTTACACCAGACAGTCCCATTCCCAAGTTGTTGAAACCAGACTTTGGAGTCGTGCCTGACCTCACACTTTGCTTATCTTAGGCCTTTGGTTCTGCCACAGTCTGACCTTGCCCCCGAGACTCCCCCAGTTTGCTCCAAGTGCCATCTCCTTGAGGCGTAGTGTCTCCTTTCTCACCCGGAGGGGACCTGACCAAGAGGTCCCCTGTGCTCACCACCGCTATGCCCCTAGATCCTCAAGCCCATTTGTCAGGATGCCCATTTCCCTGATTGAAGAAGGCCCCACTTTTCAGGGGCCTCCGTGACCTGGCTTTCAAGTTCACCTGAGCAAACCCTTAGCTTGCTCCTGTTCCGTGCTACCCTAACATACAGGTCTATTCATTTCATCCCTATGAGAAAACCCGCTCCACCGGGTGGACCCTTCTTCATGGGCAGTATCCACAGTTGAAAAGCAAGTAGTGAATGAATAAAGGAATGGGTGAGAGAATGAATGAGTGCTTGCCAGCCCTGCAGGACAAGCCTGGGCCTGGCCTTCGCAGCTCATGTTCCAGCACCTGTTCTGGCTCTAAGTGCATGAGCCAGTTCTCTTCTGCATTCTTCTGGCTCACATCATTCTGCCCTGCAAACTTCACTTCCTGGAGACAAGGCACACACAATAAACACACATGCACACGGCAGTGCTCACACGCATTCTGAGCAAGTGTGAGAGCACACATGCACACACACATTTGAAGGCATGCACGCAGGCATGAACTCACTCCCGAGCACACGTGCACACACAAAGCCAGGTGGCCTGGGGCAGGTGTGGGGTGATTGTGCTTGGGTAAGAGGGAATGGTGTCAACGTGGCCAGGCCCTGAAGTGGGTCTTTATCCCCCTGGTGATGCTCCAGGGGACTCTGGAGAAGGCAGGGGCATTCCAGGTGGGCGCAAAGGGGCTCCCCAACAAGGTGTGGGTGATGACATGCTGAAATGCTCAGTGGCCCCTTCCCCAGTGAAATGATTGGGTTCCCAGAGGGCGTCATGACAAAGCTTAAATGTCAAGTGTAACGGTGCATGCCTGGAATCAGCATTTGGGAGGCCGAGGCTGGAGGATTGCTGTGAACTCAAGGCCAGCCTGGACTACAGAGTGAGACTGTGCCAAACAAAACAAAACAAACTCCAACAATGGAAAGAAAGGAGACACAGCCAGCGAAGCATCGGGCAGGGCCCTCTCGGTGAGCCTCACCTGGCGGTCTCAGGAGCAGCAGCCACCACTGGGCAGGTCCTTAAAGGCTGGCTTGGGGTGTCTCAGAGCTGGGGTGGGCTGGCCAAGGTGGGCTCCCGGTGGAGTAGAGCAGCGGTCAGGCCGATCTGGCTGTGAGGTCACACGGAGCTGGTGTTCCAGCCCACCTTTGTGACAGCATGCGCTCCGTGGAGATGGTGACATACCCAGACATTCCATAGGCCTTTGTGTGGGGGAGGGGCAAGTGTGCTTTCTGGCACGGGTGACTGCTGACTGGGTGTTCTGACACCTCCCACAAGCCCCCTTTTCCTCTCATTTCTGTTTACTCTGTTCCAAAGGGACCTCCTGGGCAGGAAACCCTGTGCTCATTTGGCCAGAGGTGCTGGTAGGGTTTTTGCAGCAGGCTGGCAGAGCCGCACCTCCTTGGGGGTTCTTCCCTGCAGTCTTGGGGGGGGGCTCTGGGGGACTTGCCAGTGTAAGGGAGGCTCCTGGTGATAGACAGGCGGGGCCAGAGAATGTCTGACTGGGTGACCTATGGAGTGCTCCTGGCCGCCAAGGACATCTGGAAGGGCCAGGTGGCAGAGGCTGGGTCCCATGAAAACCGTCTCCTGATGGGGCTGCTGAAAGGTTGGGTCCGTGCTCTGACGGCTTCTGAGAGTGGCCCCCAGCCTTTGGGGAGGACAGTTTCCAGCTGCACTCAGAGCTGGGCTCACACTTAGGTCCGTCATTTGGAATTTCGGGTGGGTTAGCAGCTACTTTTCTTTTGGTCCGACAAGTAATAAATAGCATAACAAGTAACAAAAGCGGTTTAAGGGAGAACCTAGTGTAGGGTGGTTTGAAGGGTTACTCCCCAGCAGTGGGGAGGGTGTGGGGCCGAAGCATGAGACAGCATCTCATTGCATCTGCAGCCTGGAAGGCTGGTGCTCAGCTCACTCTTTCCTTTTTATTCAGTCTAGGCCCCAGCTTCCAATATGGCATCACCTGTGTCCAGGGTGGTTCTGCCCTCTTTAGTTGAGCCTTTTTTGAAACACACGCAGAGGTGTTTTCTCCTGGGTGACCCCACATCCAGGCAAACTGATACTGACTAACCAGAACAGATGGATTTGTCAAGCTGCACACCCAGTGCCAGTGGGCGTAAGGTGTGGCCAAGCTTCACCTGCAAGGGGCTGGGTCAGGTGAGTAGGAGCAGGTCCGAGGCCAGGGCACTGGTGAGTTTGTGGGCAGGCCTGCATCCCGCTTTGTCCTCACATGTGGGTAGGCTGAAGTGTCTTATGAAGCCACTGATGCCATTCTCTAGGCCTCCATCATCACAACCTACTTCCTCCCCACCTGCAAGACCCCTTGTTCTGGCACCATCCTGTTAGTACTGCAATCTGAAGACATGGATCCTGGGAACACAGTCAGACCACAGCAAGGTGGCAGATAAGCAGCAGTGTGTGCACATGTGTGTCTATGTGTGTCTGTGTGTATATGTGTGTGTGAGCATGGGCTAGGACCTTGTGAGATGAACCATGAGGTGCTGGGTGATGCCCCTTGTGGCTGGAGGAGGACAGGGCTGGGAGGAGCTTCCCCAGATTTAAGAACCTTCTTACTTAGAGTGACAGATTGAGATGTCCTGGATCGGGTAAATATGACAGGACACCTTAGGCTGAAAGACAGCAGAAGCAAAAGGCACAGGGCAGGGACAGCATGCCAGGTAATAACTGCCTGCCACCGTCCCCTTCCTGCCGGCCCACCTTCAGCCACTAGGATTCCTAGCCTTGACCTTGGTCCTGCTGGGTGTTGGCAAGTGTGTGCAGTGGAACCCAAAGGTGGAGAGACAGATGAGTGGTGGGTGAAGGGGTGACCTGGTGGAGAGGAGTGTCAGGCTCTCCTACAGACCATGGTTGGGGGAAGGAAGGTGGGAACCGGGGTGTGCTCCACAGAAGCCTCTCTAGGCTCCTGCTCTTCCGCAGAGGGCGACAAGGCAGCTGAGGAGGCACATAGGAAGGGGCTGCGAATCCACAGTCACCTCATCTCTGCATAGGGATGGGCGGGATCAGGAATCTCGTGTCTTGAGCCTGGGGGTTGGTCTGTCACGGTGAGACAGTGGGTTTCCATGGCACTACAGAGGAAATGGCAGAGAGGGTAGCCCAGAACAAAAGGGAAGTGATCAGAATTCAGACACACTGCCCTTAGCCTCACAGAAAACCCAGGTTTGTCACTTCATGCCAAGCAGCCCCGTCTGCTGCAGCGAATGAAGTACTCCAGCCTGACCTCTGTGATTGCTTTGGTGATGGAGGTCAGGAAGGTGTCAGAGAGTGAGACTGGATAGGAAGTCTGCCCACGGAAGCGAATTACAGTCTCAGCTCAGCCACACTACATCACACGCTGACGCCTCTAATGGGCCCAGGCCAAGTGAGCGCCTGCGGCCTCTCATCTGTGTGAGGGAAGGAGCTTCCTGGGCTGTTCCTGCTGCCATAGGCACTGAGCTTCCTGGTGAGCCACCTTGCAAGCCCACTTCCACACATGCTGCCAGGAACCTAGACCTGGCGGAGGGTGACTCAGGAGGCAAGCCAGGCCTGGTCTAAGCAGCTTCCTTCCTGGGGCAGGCTCCCTGGGCCAATACTTCTCGCTGTAGGCCCCAAGGTGCCAACCCTGATCTTGCCTGTGGCTGCTCCAAGGACAGAATGCTGAGGCTGCCCACTGCAGTGGGGCTTCGGGCCATCCAGGACAGCTGTTCTGTATAAGCAGGGAGATTTTCCTCTTGTCCTCTAGCAAAGGACAGTGGAGGGTGGCCAGTGGACAGAACAGCTCTGGATCTGCGGAGTCGGCAGCCCCCAAGATGAGAAGTCAGGTGATGGCAGGTTAGCTGTGGTCAGTGCAGTCTGCAGCCAGATGACACTTCCTTTTGAGCCCTCGTCTTCAGCTTCCTTAGTCCACTGTGGCTGGGGTCCACCAGGAGGCCATTCTGGATGGCTGTCCAGGCCTCGTCGTAGCGCCGTTCCTCTAGGCAGCGCTGCCCACGGATCAGGAGCACCCCGGCCGTGGTGGCTCTGCCCGGTTGCTCTGCCAGGCTGCTCTGAGCCTGGGCCGGTGTCAGGGCCAAGGCCTGAGAGAAGGCTCCTGCAGCGCCATCCTTATCCCCCATGCTCAGCAGCAGGCGACCCCGGGAGCAGAGATCTTCTGTCCGCCTTGGCGGGTCACTGTCCCCTTCACCCTGCTGCAGCACGCTGTCCAGGTCCCTGAGCGCCCGGTCATAGTCTTGCAGCTCCATCAAGCAGGTCATTCGGAGACGCAGGTGATCAGGACGGCTGCCACCAGCCAGGACGGCCAAAGAACAGTAGCCCAGTGCCCGCCCCGGATGTCCTGAATCCAAGAGGTTCCTTGCTTCCTTGGCAGCGGCCTGTACAGGGGACACAGGGAAAGAGCACTGAGTTAGCGTCTCCTCACAGTCAGCCTGGTCCGCTGGTGTCTGGTCCCTGCCCTGTGCAGAAGGCCCATGCACTTCTGGGGGGCCTGGTCATGGGCAGGGCTGGGGACTCCAGGTCCCCAGGCAGCGCTGTTTCCTGAGGAGGCAGGTACACCCAAAAGTTGCTAAGTGTCACTGTCTCCTCTTCGCTGACCCTGGGCCACTGTGAAAGCAGGCAGCCTCATCCCCCATAAATTCACTACTCACACCGGTTCCACGGTACCTAAGACCGGCCTCTGGCATCCCTCTCTCCCCTTTTAAGTGCATCCGGCGTCACAGCGTACAACCTCCCTTAACCATAAACCTTTCTGAGGGGAAAGTCCAGAGCATCCCAGGGCGCGCTCTGCAGGGAACAAACAGCACATGTCACTTGGTTAGGTCAGACGTTTTTGTAAGGAGGGCTGAGGTGTCCCGGGGAGTACAGGGACAGAGGACCGGCTTTTCCTCACGGGGTGCAGTGCCATCTCCCCGCACTAGACTGAAGGCTGCCAGGCTCAGAGGTTCGCACAAGGGCACCTGCTCTTCTTGTTCCCTTCTCTGTGACCGGGCAAGAACTCTTGCCCTCCCTACCGCACGGCCCATGTGGTTGCCAGGAACACATAGAAGAGGCTCTGCCGCACAAACTCTCAGGCCGCTCCACCCAGCTCCGGGAGGGGTACCAGGCGAGCAGGCGCAGTACAGGACTGTTCTTGGCAGGGAGAGCGCCACGTGGCAGGAAGCGAGGAAAGGCCATTTCCGGGCTGGCCTTTGTTGCTTGGCAACCGAACGCTGCCTTGCCAAATCCAGCCCCTGGGGTCTGACTCCCTAGGCCTTGGGAGTCTTGCCCTTCTGACCTTTTAAAAACTTCAGGATCCCACTCCCCACCCCCTCCAGCTTTGGGGACTCCTATCTGGCACCCAGGGCCTCAGAGACCTTTCCCTTCCCTACTCCCCAGGCCCTGACCCTGTGTTAGCTTGGGGACTGTCACCTGCCTTCCGAGGATGCTCTGACACTATCTCCTTTTCTTATCTCTGACATTATCTTCTTTTCTCAGCTCACAGGCCAGACTCAGCCCTCCTTCTCAGATGCCTTAGACCTTTAGAATTCTGTACTTGAGAATACTATTCTGTAGACTAGAGTCCAGCCTAGCCACTCCTGTCAGTTCAAGTTCCCCCAGCACCCTCACAGCCCTGTCCCCTTTCCAGAGCAGCAGGTCCTTCGCTTAGGAAGCTGTCACACTGCTGAGCACCTCTGCTGCTAGGGCCTCTCTCTGATAGGCCCTTTCCACGCCACTTGACCGACAGAATTCAGCAATGGAGAGAGGGAGGCATTAGGAGGGATACTTGTCTTGCTCCATGTCAGCTCTGGGCCTTGGTCCCTCTGACCACTTGGCCTGAAGCCTGGACTTGTACACCCTCTCCTGGCCTTGCCAGCCTGATCTGGTTCCTGGGCCTTGTGCCAGGATGAGGTGGCCCAGCCAAATCACCTGTGGCTTACAGGAACAAGTGAAGACCAGGGGCAGTGTTTCCAGAGAGCCTCCCTAGCCAGATCTGGGGCGTTTTACTCCCCCTTAGCCCAGACCCAAGGATGCTAGCCAGTAGCTGGAAGGGCAGAGTGGCCTGGGCTTGCGGGACTGGGGCAAGCCCGACATGGGGCTTGTGGGCACTGTATACCTTTGTGAGACTCTGCTGCTCTGGGGATTCAAGGAGCCGCAGGAGGAAACTGAGGTCCCGAGTGTCTTTCTCTGCCAGGCGCTGCAAGTCACGGGCAGCCGCTGACATGTCACCCTTTTTCAGCTGGAGCAGGCCTCGCCGGGCCTGGGCAGCCTCTGATGATGGGGCGAGGTGTAGCACCTCTTGCACGTGGGTGCCAGCCTCCTGATACTTGCCTGTGGGGACCATCAGAGGATGGTCAGAGAGTGTGGGTGTGGCTGGGCCCCAGGCATGCCCAGGAAAGGGGGACAGCTAGCCCTAGGGAACTACTTTGGTCCCTCCCAATCTGTCTGGGCTGGAGTCCAGTTGGTGGGTGCAGACTCAGCCCCAGTAGGAGCAGAGCGGTGGGGGCAGCCCCTGAAGTCTTTGGAGGAAAAATGCAGATTACGGAGAGCGCCCCTTCAAGCAAGGAGTAATAGCGAGACCCGCATGGCACACGTGGGTGTACAGGCCCTTCTTGGGTCTTCCTTCTGCCAGCAGAGGGATGGATGAGACATAAAAATCAGAGAGGGAAGCCAGGCAGTGGTGGTGCACACCTTAATCCCAGCCCCAGGAGGCAGAGGCAGGTGGGTTTCTGAGTTCGAGGCCAGCCTGGCTTACAAAGAAAGTTCCAGGACAGCCAAGGCCACACAGAGAAGCCTTGTCTCAAAAAATCAAGCCAACCAAACAAGTGAGAAAAAAAACCCAGAGAGTTGCTACTCCACAGGCCCCACAGGGTTGTAGGTCACCGAGGATCTGAGCGAGGGACAGAGGCCCATGCCCGCTGCTCTTGCACATACCCAGCCCTGTGAGGATGTCTGTGAGAAACAGATGCCAACTAGGCTGTGCAGCACTGATTCTAACCAGTGCCTCTGCCATAGCGAGGAGGCCCTGGGTGTCCTCTTCCCTCAGGGGCACGCCAGCGTCCAGCAACTGACTCAGGAGGACCCGGCAGTGGCTATGGAGACCCTGGGTAAGGGTCAGCTGAACTTTTGGCTTCAGGGACTGGATCTCAGGGATCACAGTGCCTGGGTCGAGCTTCAGGGCAGAGACCATGTCATCCACAGCTTCCTGCAAGGAAGGAGAGCCTGTGGGTCAGAGTGGGCTCACTCCCATTATTCCATCCTCTTCTCAAGCTCTCTCCTTGGAGTCTCAGAGGGTCTGCCCCACCCGGATTCCCACCTTCCCTGCTCTGACTCTCTGTGGCCTACTACCTCCTGTGTTCACTGAGGAGTTATTTAAGATCCACTAGTTACCACAAAGGCTTGTGCATCTGCACACTGCGGTACCCAAAAGTGGATCTTTGGGCAGGTGACTCTCATTCCCTGTGAGTGCTCGTGGAGAGAAGAACATGGAGTCCCGCTGCGCACCCTGATGGCTGGAAGGCCCGACCAGGGCGGAGGAGAGCGTCCTGGCCTCTCGCACCCCTGCTTGCCTGCCTCAGGTGGGGAGCATGGGTTGGCACCTGCAGCTGGTCCAGGGCCAGATGCACGAGGGCACGTCCACACAGGGCCTGCACATTCCTTGGTTGCCCCCGAAGCATGGAATTAAAGTCAAACATGGCGGTCTTCTTTTGGCCCAGGAGCCCATAACAGCGGGCTCGGACGAGGAGGGACTCACTGGCCTCACTCCCTGAAGGAAGAAAGTGTGGTTAGGACACAGCTTTGGCTGGGCCTCTTGTCCAGGGTCTCCTCTAGTGCCCGACCTGGGTGGCTAGGGGACACAAGGTCCACCTTGGGGTGCATCCACTCCACTGGGGTACCAAGACAAAGTCAGGCTGTCAGGATTACTGGCCACAGGGCAGGAGACTAACTGGGGAGGGGTGTCTGGGAGGACTGGCAGATGGCTGGGGTGTCTTAGGAAGGTCTATGCCACTGTTTTGGGGGAAGAGAGTAGGCAGAGGTTGAGTAGGACAAGTTCCTTGGGCCAGGATGAAAAAAGGAAGCATGCAGAAGGTAGTATGTGAGGCTCAAGGTAGGAGCAATTCCCAGTGAACTCTGGGAGGTGGAGCCCGTCCCCAAAGAGGACGCCTCCACCACTCCCCTTCTGTGTCTGTCTAGTGTCCCACACAGAGAACTCCATGCACCATAGCCCTTGAGCATAGCACTCCAGCACACTCGGGGAAGGCTGCTGTAGCCCAGGAGGGATGTCTTGGCTAGGTGTGGGGGCCAGGTGTATGGGGCTTACTGTGAAGGGCTTGGGGAGCCAAGGCCTGGCCTATACCTCAGAGCGGAACATGGGGGAGGGCAGTCCAGGGGGCAGGGCAGGGTCTCAGCCCCGGCCCTTCTCAGGCCTTGGCATGCTCACTGGTAGCCGGGGATTCCAGCACTGGGTGCCCCTGGTAAACGGTCCCATCTTGTTCACAGTGTGGATGCTCCATGGCACAGGCTAGTGCGGAGCAAGCTTGCCCTCGGCTCCCAGGCCCCCCATGCATCTGGCACAGGACTGAACCCCTGTGGCAGGTGGGAATGCCTACCTGCAGCAAAGATGGCCAAAGAGAGGTAGGCGACTGCTTCCCTGGTGTGGATCTCGCTGCCAGGCCCGCCTGGCCATGCCCGCAGTATGCTCAGTGCCCGTGTGTGGCAGTGGTCTCGCAGCAGCTGCAGGTCCTCATGACGGAAGATGTCCAGGGTGTGCTGGAGACAGGCGGTGTCTCCAGACTGAGCCACCTTCTTTACTAGCTGTGGGCACAAAAGCGGGGCATCGCTGACCTCCCCACTGGCCCCCTTTCCTCCTTTTGATGCCCTCTCCAGCACTTGCTGCTATTAGTAGGGCCTGGCTCTGTCTCCACGGGCCTGGGCTGGGGCAAGCTGTCTGTTCTGAGCACTGGAAGGTTTTCCAGGAATTGCAGCCCCAGCCATGTAAGCCTCTGAATGTGTGTTTGTCCCTATCTACCGAGCTTGAAGAGGACAGGGAGGTGGGGAGTGAGGGAATGCTCTGCAGCAGTGAAGGCTTACCCTGCAACATGACAAAGTGGGTGGGGTTCTCCTCTTCCTGAATCTTGGCCTCCTCTGTCACATGGCTGGAGACCCCACCCCAATATGCTGACCCAGGGAAGGCTTAAGTAGCAAGCTTGAGCAAGGGCCCTTCAGAACAGCAAGTGACAGGGACTCAAGAAGGTGTATGCCAAAGCCAAGGTCTGCCCAGGTTCCAGCCGGGCATCCTCAGGCAGACACAAGCTCCTCCCTCCATTACTCCAGCCTGGACAGACACAAACTGCTTGCCACGGGCCTGGTGCAGACTCCTGTGCCTGGCAAAGAAGGACTGGTTGATTTCAGGGTGATCTTTCTGCCCAGGGCATCAGGATTTCAGCCAGGCCAGAGAATGAAGAGGCCAGGTGGTCCCTCAGCCTAGACTTTGAGGCCCGAAATCCCCCAGAAACCTGACCCATGGATCTTGGTGCAAACAGAAAGCCCACAGCACCCGAGCCAGGCCTTAAGCTCTGCCATTCCGGGAGCAGAGAGTTCTTAGAGGTTGGCAAACAGGGCTTACAGGTCCTGCAAAGCCCAAGTTTCTCTCCCAGGCAGCGTTTCATTCAAGTCTATTTCATCTAGGAGGATTGAGTAGGAGCTCAGCCTGTGAAGTCTTGGCCACTTTCCATTATACCACAGCCAAAGGCTCTAGGAAGCATGTTCCAAGGTGTAGGCTGTAAGGAGCAAATCCGGGGCCACAGGGTGGCGGGGCCACAGGGTGGTGGTGTCCCTGCAGAGTGCGCGCCCGCTCTGACCTGCACCAGCCCACCTGGTGCACCAGCCCATTTGGGCCTCCTCACCTGGGTGGCATCACAGCAGAAGCCCCTCCGCAGCTGAAGCAGGGCCAGACGCACCAGGACAGGGGCTGCCTGGGGCCTCCGGGACAGGGCCACAAGCAGGGACTTGTGAGCGTCATCCAAGCGGCCCAGCCGGTACAGGGCGTCAGCTGCCAAGAGGCAGGAGGTCTCATCCTCCGAGTCCAGCTCCATGAGCAGCGTGGCCAGGTGGTACACACCATAGGCATCACTGTGGAGAGGGTGGCTCAGCATGGGAGGCCTTTTTCTTCATCCCCGCCTAAGAGCTCAGGCCTCAGCTGAGTCTTGTTCCCACCCATGCCTCAGTCTGGATAGCCCCTTCCCCATTGAGCTGCAGAGGGAGGACCATATCACCCCCCTCCAGATTCCTAACCTGCCCCTTCACTCCCCTCCCCTGCTCTTTCCACCACCCCACGGGGCAGGTGCTATACAGAAGTAAGGACCAAAGTCACCCAAGAACTCCAAGTTCAAGGAACTGCCTCGGTTTCCTCTTTATAAACACAAGAGTTGATGGTTCGGCTTTGCTGGGCTCGCCACAATGGAACATAACTGCCACAGCAGTGCACGCCAGGGCAGAGGAAGCTCCCAGGAGGTGTGGGGAGTGGCCTGACGGTGGTGGTGAGGGCAGCTAGGATGCACCCATCAGGCAGCAGTGTGTGGCGTGAGTCTGGGAGGGAAGGGTGGGCAGCACTGGAAATCAGAGACCCTGCCTTGGAGCTGCCCACCGAGCCAGAGTTATACCTGAGACAAAGTGGCACAAATGTGCTTCACAACGAAAGGAAGCTCAAAACTCAACAAAAGCTTATTTTGAGGTATTTTGTGTGCACAGTAAGAAACAACTAGAACAGCACACTGCAGGGGACTAATGTTCAAGGATCTTGGTCTTTTTATTTAAAAAGTTGGGGGGGGCGCTGGGGAGATGGTTCAGTGGTTAAGGGCACTGGCTGTTTCCCTAGAGGACTGGGGTTCGAGTCTCAGCACCCACAGAGTGACCACACTTGTAATTCCCAAGTCCCATGATCTGATGTCCTCTTCTGGCTTTTGCTGGCCCTGCCACACGTGGTACACAAACATACAAGCCAGCAGATAAAAAAATTACAAAGTGAACATTATTTTATTTTTAAAATTATGTGTGCGTGTACATTTGTGTGTGGGGGGGGGCATGTGTGAGTGTGTGTGACTGTGTATGTGCATGAGCGCAGGTGCCCTCAGAGGCCAGAGGCATGGGATCCCCTGACTCTGGCGTTATAGGCTGATGTGCGCCACACGTGCAGGTTGCTGGGACTGAGCTCAGGCTCTTAACTCGCTCTTAACTTTAAGCCCTTTTTCCCCAGCCCCCTGCCCTTTTTGGTTTTGGCTTTCTTGTTTGTTTGCTTTTCGCGCTTTTGAGACAAAGCCTCACTTTGTATGTAGCTCAGGCTGGCCTGGAATTCACTGTGTAGCTCAGGCTGTCCGCCTGCAAGAATCTCCCAAGTGCTGGGGTTGCAGGCGTGAGGCACCACCCTCGGCTTGCTCCTAGCATTATGGGAGGAGGCCCACAGGGTACCACTTTCTGGGGGTCTCAGCCCTGGCTTCGGATCCCACCTTTGCTTAGGGAAGCCAGGTAGCTGAGCATGGCTCAGTTTTCTCTCAGACACCCCTCCCTAGCTCCCACCTCCGGCGCGCGGCAGGTTCTCACCCTTCCTGCGCCCGTGGAGCAGGGCGCGCCCCCTGCGCAGCCTTCCTCCCGCAGCCCGGCGAGCGCAGCAGCATCCTCCGGCCCTCCTCCCGCAGCACGGTCAGCAGCAGCCCGCGCTGGTTCCAGGGCACGTAGGCTTTGGCGACCAGCAGCGCCTCCTCGGGCCGCAGCCGGCAGGCGGTGACATAGTCCAGTGCTCCCAGGAAGCCGCTGCCCGCCAGCGCCCGCAGCAGCCCCCGGCCGCACAGCGCGCGCACGCAGCCCACGGTGTGCGGCGACCCGCGCTCCACCACCGCCTGGAAGTCCGCGCGCGCGCGCCGGGCGTCGCCCGCGTGCAGCGCGCAGAAGCCGCGCAGTGCCAGCAGCGGCGCGCGGTCCCCCGCGAGGTCCCCAGACGGCTCCCTGGGGCGCCTGGGCCGGAGGAGGCGCTCGCACTGCGCGCGAGCCCCCTCCACGTCCCCGGCCAGCAGCAGGCACTCCGCCAGGCGGGCTCCCAGCGCGGCTCGCCCGCGGGCGGGCGCCGCGCGCAGCAGGAACCGGAGCGCGTGGGTCACGGGAACCAGGAGCTCGCGGTCCGCATCCGCGCGCAGCTCCGGGCGGCCACGCACGGCCTCCAGAAAGCGGGCGAAGCCCACGTCCGCGGCCTCCTGCGCCCGCGCCAGCACGCGGCCGCGCTCCTCGGCGGACAGCAGGGCCTGGAACTGCCGCCGCGCGCCGGCGGCACTCTCGCCGAAGGCCTCCTGCAGGTCCAGCAGCGCGTCCCCGGCTGGGCCATCCAGGAGGAAGGTGGCGGCCGCGCGGGTGACCAGCAGGGCCGCCAGCTGCTCACCTGGAGAGAGAAATTGGCTTGGTTCTGCCTTCCCACAGCCCTTTCACTCAGCCCAGGGCATCTCCCCAAATTCTGCAGGTAACCCAGGGCTCCGGAACCACGAGGACGACCCCAGGCCGTGGGCGCCCGTGAGTGAGGCCGCGGCACCGGTGCGAGCACCACTGCTCCCGTGGCCGCCCAGCACTGCTCTGCCAGAGTGGCTATTGGAGGCATCGCCTCTCAGCGCAAATAAAAACGTGTTTACATTTCTCTCCGCCCGACTTTCAGTGACCCGCTTTAGTTTCCTTTCAGGGACACAGCTCCACCCAGCCCACTCCGTGACCCTGGGGACTCTGACTCTGCAGGGTCACCAGGCCTGGACGTCTTCACTGTCCTGCCTTTTTGGGACCAACGCTTCCCTGCAGAAAACGGGTGGTAGAGGGCCCAGGAGCGAGGCGCTTGGCTCTCTGAAGCCCTTATCCTACGAGTGGGGGCCTCCAGTCTGCCCCCTTCTCACTGTTAGGAAGGGGTTAAAGTGATGGGCACTCTCCAGGGCTGAGGATGGATGGGAGAAGCACACATCTGTGAGCCCAGCAAAGTAACACGCAACCAGTTCGCACAAACTGACGTGGAAACCCAGCACCAACAGGTCTCTCTGTCCAGTCCTGGTGGCCGAAACAAAATGTGAACAGAAGGTCGACCCTGGAAGCCGCAGGGTCCCCCGGCTGTGGACTCAAGGCATGTCTGTCTAGGACCACACTCACGTTAGCTTTCTTAATTGTCCCAGTAAGGCTCTATCCATTTTTCTTCCTTTTTTAATATCAGATAATCTATTTTATTTCAAATTTTGCTGTCTCTTCTCCCATCTCTATGATGCTGATTTTTTAAATTATTATTTCACTTCTCAACTAATTTCCATTTTTATTTGGGTGACGCTGGGAATCAAACCCAGTTCTGTGTACATGTTAGTTATAATCCCAGAGGGCGGTTTTAAGATTGTACACCAGACATTTGAGCAACGCTTTATAAAGACCCTGGATTTAGTTCTGTTCTTCAGATGAGGGCTGGGTTTTGTTTTGGTAACCAGCTGTCTGGACTCAAACTCCAAATTCTGTCGTCTTCAGAGCCCAGCTCTCCTTTTAGTTCCTGCAGCGCCCACCTGCTGCTTTGCATGGACCATGTTGTCTCTCCTACATGTGCTCAGTCCCGCAGTGAGCCACAGGTTTGTATCGGATCGTGGACCTCCTGCCTCCACGGCCCCACCCTCAGGACGCTCAGCTTTCCACTTTTCCAGCCCTGAGCTCACTGACTCTCAAGCTGGGAAGGCCAAGGCTATCGGTTGTACACAGGGGTGCAGACAAGCCTAGAGGGACCCTCCAAGCTGCACCCTCACACAGCGCCAGCTTTCTGCTTCCGGCACTCGCCACGCCACACTTTCAAATATTCGCCTTTGAATTTCATCTAAATTAGGCGGCTGCTGCCTGTGGGGCAGGTGCCTGTCAGGACGGTCGCTGTTCCCCAGGGCCAGATCTGCCCAGCGGCTTTGGCAGTTTTGATGGCCTGGGACGTCTGAAGTGCTATCCCACTGTTTCCATTTTAATTTTTCTGGGGCTCATTAATTAATTTTCTTTCCAATCCAGCATGTAGAAGGAAAATACTTTTCCATTGTATTAATTTACATCATCTTGTTACCATGGTGCTGACGATTTTTCAAGAAAATAGTTTTGTTTGCTACCTGTGTTTTCTGTTTGGGGAAAAGTTGTAGCCAATTCCATTTGTCCATCCATCCTCGATCCATCCATCCATCCATCCATCCATCCATCCATCCATCCATCATCTATGTATGTATGTATGTATGTATGTATGTAAGTATGTATCTATCTATCTTACTGATATGTAGAAATTTCACAAATACTTTGCATACTGATTATTTTTCTGCCATTGTATATTTTGAAAACATTTTTCTCTCTGAGTACTGTCCTTTCATCTTTTATAGTTGTGAGAAAAAATTCTAAGTTTTAATTTTATAAAATGTATCATATTTTTTCATTGTCTGTGCTTTTGCTTATTTATTATTACTTTTTTGAGGGGGACAGGGTTTCTCTGTATAGCCCTGGCTGTCCTGGAACTCATTCTGTAGACCAGGCTACCCTTGAACTCACGGAGACCTGCCTGCTTCTACCTCCTGAGTGCTGGGATTACAGGCGTGTGCCAACATGCCCAGCTACAAATGCAACATGATATAATGCACTTTTGCATGCCACATACATCAGAGCCAAGACGTGGAGCCTCCAGTTCTCGCCACTCAATCCCTCCTTGTACCTTGCTGTGTCCAGGTTCCCAGGGACCTGGCACTCACAGGCGCTTTGTCTCTCCTTATCACAGGTCAACAGCTTTGTGTGCTTACCCCCTGGTGGCCTGTAAGACCCTCTGGACAGCTGAGCACAGAGTGAAATCCACAAAACGAGGCACGCTGAAAAAACCTTCACTCTTTATGACGTGGTTACCTCAGGTGCTTTGTTATGTAAGGGAAAGCTGGTAGCAGAAGCTGGTACCTCGTCAGCCCCTCCCCAGCAAGTCTCCAAGGTCAACTCTTTAACCAGCTTTGGTCCTCCCTGACTATGTCCACAGACCCGCCACAGGGCACGTGGTGACACCATAGGCTCATTATTTCACTCTCTGCAGTGCTCGCTCCCCAGTCTGAGGGCCATGGTCTCCTGTCTGAGAGTCCAGGGACTCCTGACGTTGTCTCTCAGTCTAGACCATCCTTCTCGCTTTCCAGGCTCCTCCCAGTCTCTCAGCCTCCCCTTTCCCAGCACCCATGCCTCCAGCCTTTGTCTGCCTTCCCCACCCATCTCCTCCAGCTTTCCCCCAGCCCCCCCCCCCCAGCTCCCAGATCACAGGCCATACACACTAGCAGAAGATGCATGCTCATGTCAGTTTGAAAACTCTCCTGTGGCTTTAAGAGCAAAATCCAAGCTCCTCCAGCCCCCAGCCTGCTGCCACCTCCTCTCCTTCCAGCCACCCTGACTATTTGGTGGCAAGGACATTTCAAGCTATTTCTTCTCAAGGGCACTGGCATACGGTTTCTTCTGTGTGCACTCATTCAGTCTCAGCTGAAAGGCCACCTCTTCTGAGAAGCCTTCCCTGACTAACAGCCAGATTTGCACCTTACAGGTCTTGGCTATGGCTGGAGCCATGGAGACCATGGCTCTTGGGGGGATGTGGCTTGTGAGTCACTCTCCTACCTTGGGGTCCACTCCCCGTGGAGTCAGGCTGAAGGTCCCTGCTGCAGGCGGCCAGGCAATCCTCAAACCTGCCTCTGTGAAACAGAGCTTCGGGCGACATGGCACCCATCCAGCTGCCCCTGGGGTCCAGGGCCTCCAGGAGCGCTCGGCAGTTGGTCTCTTGCTGGCTGGCACTACCTATTGTCTTCAGGTGTCCCTCCAGGTAGTCCTGGAGGGTGCTGAGCAGCATGGGGAGGTAGGGCTGCTGGTGGCTGCGGATGAAGGCCACCGTTCGGTCTGCGCTGGAGGCAAAACTCTCAAGATATGCAGCTGTGCCCTCGCCGGCCTGCTCCACAGACAGGACCAAGGCCAGGGCACGCGTCAGCTGCAGCTCCAGGGCCTGCTTGGAGTGTGCGTCCAACAGGGTGCCGCAGCGCTGTACTACTTCCGCGTGGCGCCCGTGGGCCAGCAGCCCAGCCAAACGGTACAGCACAGCGGCAGGGTGGTCCGGGCAAATGGCGCCGAGGAAGGCGGAGGCCAGTGGCCCGGTCAGGGAGACCACCGCCATGCCATCCCAGTGGATAGCAGGGATCTGGCTGTCCCCACGACACCAGGCCTCCAGGGTGGCCACCACCGGTGCCCCTGGAGCCTCAGCCAGGACAGCCCGCACATGCCGCGTGGCGGAAGGGGCGTGGCAGCTGAAGGCGGCCAGGTAGAAGGCAGTGGCTGAGGGCGGCTCCCCGAGAGCCAGGCGCTTGTCTCCCTCCTGGCAGAGGCAGGCCACTAGCTCCTGAGCCGCCATGCTGTCAGTCACTCCTGGCCCGTGGTTGGTCTTCGCGGTACCTGCAGCAGGGGGGATTGCCGTCAGTGTCCAAGGTGCCACGTTCACCTGCCCTGTGACCGCCCTTGAGCCTGGCCTCGGAGCAACCCCCAAGTTTCCTCCACTGAGTCCTCAGAATCTGGTGCAACCTGGCCACCACAGAGATATTTGTGGCATTCCCTAGGAGGGCAGTCCTCACAAGCTGGGCACAGGTTCTGTCAGGCTGGGTTTCAAGTTGCTCCTATCTCTTGAGCCTCAGTTTCCTCCTGTGTCGAATGGGATGGGACCCTGCCTACTCAGGTCAGTCTAAGAAGGTCTTGGCATCCAAGTGGGGCGCAATGGGGTGCTTAGGAGACCTGGGGCCTGGACAGACTCTGGGACAACTACCTCCATCTATCCTCAGGAAGGCAAATAACTGCAGCGTGTCAGAGCCCCAGCCCGGGACACACCCTCATCCACCTTGCTCACCTGCCTGATGCAGGCTGAGGGTGAGCTAGGGCCAAGAGGTACCTGACAGGTCTGGAGTGGGCTGGGGAGTGCCACTGCACAACCCAGTCAGCTCTGAGGAAGACTCCAGGACCAATGAGTCTCCTAACCCTGCCCTCTGACCCCAGGAACTACTCTTGGCCCTTTATTTCCTGGTCTTCGAGCACCTTCAGTGAAGAGCCTCGGCAACCCTCCCTGACAGGCAGGCACATGCACACAGGCCTGCCCTTGCCTCTCACACTCACAAGCTGAGCCAGCCAGGGCTGGGCACGGAAAGGCTCTGATGACTCTCCTCCTTGGGCTGGGGTCAGGAGAGGTCGGTGCTGCCGCTACCAGCCCAGGTGCTCTGAGCCCCCTTAGAGACGCTGGGCCCACACTGCAGACACAGAAGCAGGGGCGCCAGTCTCCGGTTTCCAGGGAGAGCGTCAACACTGCTGCCTGGCTGCTCAGCTATGCCCTCTAGCGGCCAGACATGCTCAGGTGGCACCTCCACAGCAGTAAGGAGGAGGGCTGGGGAAGCAGGCCAGGCTTCACCGGGAGGCCTTGGGGTTCAGAACCTACTCTTGGAGAGGGAGGCCCAGGCGTGTACAGTCCTGGGTGAGCTGTCTCGCGGCTTGTGCTAGTCCCTGCCCACACATTCAGGCTTTGTCGCTGCACCCCAAACTCAGTCTTGGCTGCCCTGATTCCCTCTTATCATCACTCCCATTCCCGCTCTGTTCCCTGCAGGTCCCTGTCTGCTTTGGTGTCCTGTGATCTTCACACTTGCCCCAAGTCCTGGCTCCACAGCCTGTCCCTTGAACTGGGCAAGTGGGCTAGGATGTAGTTCTGTGCCCCAGCCTGTTTCCTGGGGTTGCCCTGGCTCTGGTAGCCCTCCTTGTTGGGGATGGCCAGGTCTAGACTGAGGAGGGGGCGTAGGGTTCCATTTTAGAAGGAGGAAGTAGAGGCTGGAGCCTGAGTCCAGGCTCAGCTGCCATATGGTGCATGCTTGTGACTGCAGAGTGGGTCTGCTTTGGGCAGCCCCTGCCAACTCACCACCCCAAGGTATCTGGCTATAGGTCAGCACTAGCCCCTCTGTGGGCTTCTGGGGGGGTAGCTTTCTGGGATGTGGCCTACACCCCTTTGTGGAGGGAGCTATGGCACAGAGGGCCCAGGCCGGGCTCTGAGGATGTAGGGCAGGTGTGGTCAGCAAGGCCCAGTTCTTCGTATTGCCCACCTTCTCGTCAGCTCCTTGACATTCACAAAGGCACAGAACTCTTGCAGTCAGCGGTAGTGAGGGCTTATTAAGAAATTTCCCATTATGTTACTTTGATTACTTTCATTTTAATTACCCTAATTAGGCGAGCTCTGTAATGGAGTGGGCCGTCCTGTGGGGCTGTTGGAAGGGCCTGGGGCACAGAGGGGCACTGACTATGGCAATCACATTAGCCCTGATCTGTCCCCCGTGTCCTGCCTGGGCGTAGGGAGGCTGAGGGCCCGCAGGCACTGGCCAGATGGGCCATCTTCTGGTTGGGATTGAGCTATGGCTGCAACTCCCATCTGAGGGCAGCGTGCCTGGGTGCTGGGACCCTCCTGTCCGTGCTGTCGTCTAGATTGTGTTTACATCTCTGATCTTGTGGCAGACAAACACTGGATGCCAGAGCTGGGTAGAGAGCCCAAGGCCCATGGACATGGAAACAGACTTCGTGGCTTTAGTCTCCCTGGCCCAAATGATTTTTGTGTCTGTGTGTGACTCAAATCTAGCTGGTGGTGAGCAGAATTCTGGCCCCGTGCACTACATGGGACCTGCTGCCCTAGACACCCTGCTTTGTTGGGAATCCAGGATGTCTGAGCAGGAGTCGGCCTGCTGCACAGTGACAGCCTTAAATACTCCTCGAGAATAGCCTCACAAGAGGTGACTGACTGACCGCTCCTCTGTGCCCAGAGCTTCGTATTTGTGGCTGCAGTTGGCCCCAGCAGAACAGTCACTGCAGCTGCCAAGGCCTCCTGCGTGGGTGTCTAAGCAGGGCCCCAGGATGCCCCTCACTGTGGGGAGCTCCGGGCTGGCCACCAGGTCTTCTTGGATGAACAGGGAACAGTGCAGAAGCCGAGAAAGCTGTCTGAGGCCAACCCTGTCGGGTGTGGGTCTCGTAGTTGTTGAGTTGCCATTCAGGGACAATGCTCACAGGCCCCACAGGCGCTCTCAGCTCTCAGCGGAAGCCTGGGAGTGACATGGCTGTGGGACATCTTTATGGATTCTCTTCCCAGACCTGGGTGTAATCCCAGGAGGGTGGATGAGAAAGACCTGGAGCGTATCTCACAGGATTCGTACATTTCACCTGGCTAGTGGCTAGTGGCCACCCTTTCCTGCAACCTGCCCCCCAGAAGTGTCCCTGGTCAGTCTTGTTTGCTCATCCCAGCCCCCCGGAGAATCTGAGCTGCTCTTTGCCATTGACAAGGCTTCCCTGGGCATCTCACCCATCTGCTCCTCCATAGGCACTTGCCTCAGGGCTCACCGTGTCTAAGCCAACACGAATCAGAACAGGTGTGCGCCCAGGACCCCCCAAAGGGCAACCCTGGCTCTCAGGGGTGCTTTTCACTCTGCTGACCTAAGGGCCAGGAACAACATATGAGCTGGGCCTTGCTCATTCCCAGCAGGGCCACCTGCACCCCAAGCATTCAGTGTGCTCTTCCAGGCTGTGTGAGCTACCCAAAGTTCATAGACACTGGGGTACTCTCCCTCAGTCAGGCCTCTATGTGACCTCAGTCAGTAGAGAACACTTCAGGCTTCACGAGACTTACCTGGGAGTTACCCAGAGGAGTTTCAGCCTGTCTTCTCTGCTGACAATGAGCAGAAAGTGTAAGCAAATGGCAGGTCCCTCCTGTCCTGTCCCGTCTCGTCCTGTCCTCTCCTCTCCCTCCTCATCTGTCTAGACCCTGCCACAGTGGAGCTCTTGGCAGGCCCTGCAGCTGGCAGACATGCCCAGTCCACACCTGCCAGGGAGCCTGCTCCTCTTGTTCCCCGGGGCTCTTGTTCCATCCTGGTATCAATAATGTAGTAGGATGGGTGTTCCCATTTTCTCAGCCACCTGCCCAGCTGCTGCTTGTGGATGCTTCAGTCTCTCCTGCAGGGATGGAGCCATGCCTGTGCCCTGCAGGTGGGTGAGACCAAGAGCTGGATGCCTGGATGGGGAAAGCGTCCCAGGATGTATGCCCAGCTTTCATGGAGGCTTCCAGGCTCTGCTGGCATACAGCTCAGCTACCGACAGGGTTGTGTTTGTGGAGGGGAGGCCATGGCCCTCAGCTAGGCACCCCATCTTCCCAGTGAGAACTGGCTTATGAGGCCAAGCCCTGGGCCCAGGCCCTTAAAGGGCACACTTGGCTCAGAAGTGTCCTGGCTGAAGCCTTGGACTTCTGGGCATCTGGCCATAGGAGCTGGGCTGGAGTGAGGGACATGGTTTTGTTTTAATCCCAGGTGTGGGATGAGGGGCTGATTCAGTTTGTCCACAGCAGCAGACTATTTGCTTCATTCGGCCTCTGAGCGGGGCCTTGCCAGCTGTAGATAGTTGAAATCTGAGGATTCTTGAGAGGGAATAAAAGCCAGGAGAGAGAAATAAATGCCCAGAGAGAGAAAGGAGCGCCCAGAAAGAAGAAGGCTGCTGGGGCTTCCCCCCTGCTGTTCCTGGTTGCTGTTGATACAGTGGGTTAGAAATTGGAGATCTCTGAAACGAAGATTGGACTGGCCCCAAGGAACCCGACAACGCTAGCCAGCAGGAAGTAGCTAAGTAAAACCACGCCACTTCTCCCCACTAAACTTTCTCTCCTACCTGCATGTTAATAAGTGGGGTGTTGGAAAGGATTGGGGTGGAGGAGGGAAGTGAAGGCGGAAGAAACGTAATTATGGTAGCGTTAAAAAAGCAATGGCAGCAGAGACCTCTTTAGCCGCGCCTTCCACACATCTCCTCGGCTCCGCCCACGTTGCCTCCTGCCGTCCAAGCTTAACGCAGTTGCTCTCGGCCCATCTCAGCACCTGCGCACTGCAGCCCACCTGTGCCGGGTTGAAGCGCAGCCCAAAGTCCGCTTAGATCCCAACCTAGGGATCTGCCCTGCCTCTTTTCAGCCGTCTCAGCACCTGAATCACTCAGGCCACTGGTCCCTTGTAGGGCCAGACCCTACAAGGCTCCTGCTCCCCCATAAGCCACTCCAGAGCCTTCACATCACCCCTCCCCCCGCAGTGTTGGTCGTCCTCATGTAGACAGACCCTCTCACAGGAGCGAACTTCCCCGGTTCTCTCTGCCACCGTTAGCGTCAGCCCTGGGCTCACTTAGGTGTTGTTGGCTTCCTCCCTGAGATTCAGGTTGAGGGTCTCAACCGCTCAATTGAGGTCAGGGGTAGGTTACCGTAACCCAGAAGGTGCCCAGCAGGAAGCCAGGAAGGAATTGAACAAGGGGCCTGGTGAGGGAGAGAGGAAGGAAGGAAGGGACAGATGGGACAGTACAGGCTCCATCTAAGATCTTCAA